ATCAGGACCTTGGAGGGGGAGCCACCGGGGCAGGGGAACTGATGAATGGGGGGAGTTCTGAGTTTTCCCCTTCAATTGCCCCCCCCAGATCTACCCCTATTGTGAAGGGCTGGAGACCCTCCCTTTGAGGTGGTCTTTGGGGAGCTGTTTTGGGGGGGAGAATAGGGAGCCCCAAATCCTAGAAGGGCCGAATATTAGGGAGAGGGGAAAAGTTGAGGGTAACCAGAGAAAATGGGGGTTGAGGGACGGGAGGGGGTGGGAGACCTCAAAAGGATCTGTTTGGATGTCCCCATTGTTCCCCTTCCCCATCTCACCTCCCAAAAGAAGAGAGAGTGATGGACGCATAAGATACTTGTCTTTATGTATGTTACATTTTTCATGGAGCCCATCTTGGCTGAAATGGTCTGAAGAGATTCCTGTCTTAGGAGGAGGTTGGACTAGATGACCTCCATGGTCCTTTCCGTCGTTCTGTTCTATGATGTCTCCCCTACAAGGGGGCTCTGGGCAGCTTAGAAGTTAAAATTGAAAACTTTATTAAAATCTTCTTATATAATATATTTAAATATATATTATATATACACACACACACACATATATAGTCCTCTCCCCCTCCCAGCGGTTTCGAGAAAGGGGCCCCAGTCGGTCCCCCTGGGAGGGAAAAAGAGACCATCCGGCGAAACCTCCGAGGGGATCCAGCCTGGAGGGACATCCAGGGAGGCAGTCGGACTCCCCGTTTCTCCATGGCGGCCCAAGGGCTCCTCCTACCTTGGGCGGTGGGCACAGAGAAGTGGTGGCTCCGTCCTGGGAGTCACAGCCCTGTGAGTCTCCCTGAGGCAAAAGGCCCAGAATCTCCTCCTCCTCCTCCCTCGGCTTCCTCGCCCCCTTCCCCTCCTCCGCGCTGGAGCCTCCTGGCCTCCCTCCCTCCTTCCCCCATGGAGCCTCTCCGGGGGCTCCTCTTCAAAGGCCGGGGTCCCTGCCCTTCCTCTGGGAGGCCGAGGGAGGGAGAGCCCAAGCAGGGCGGCTGTGCGGAGGGAGCGGGAGGGAGGCGGTGGAAGGAGGGACATGAGCTGGGTGTCCAACCGAGGCTCCCGGTCCTTGTCTTCCCACAGCCCGGCCATTTCTGAGGGGACTCTGGAGCCTTCCAAGGCCTCCACTCTCTGCGCAGCCCTCAGGGAGGCGGTTCCTGAGGGAGGTGAGTTCAGATCCACCCGAGAGGCTTTTTCCCTCTGTCTCCACCAACAGTTCCCGGACAGAAAGGAGAGGAAGGCAGAGAAAGAGCCGCCTCCTAATTCCTTGACAGGGAGCCATAGAGAGGGGCCTTTCCTCCTACTTCCAAGCTATCATCCCCTCCCCTTCCCTTCTCCCTCCCATGCGCTCCCTTTTCCTGCCCATTTTACCCTCTGGCCCTTTGCCCCAAGTTCACCGGGGGGGGGCGCCCTCTGCCAAGGGAAGGGAACTCCAGGCGCTTCCCCATTGGGCCGCTGGAGGCCGAATGTCAAGGCTGTCTTCTCAGAGGAGGTGGGAAAGGAAGTGACACCACTGAGCCTTCATTCTCTAGGACACCGCACTCGCTCTCCTGAACACCTGGAGACCCAAAGGGAGGCGGTGAGGATGCGGGAGAGTCTGGTGAGGGGACATCCAGACGAGCCATGGGTGAGGGAGGGGGCTCCCCAGCCGCCTTCTCCCCAGGGGAGGGGGAGCCTGGCAGAGGCCCAGCTGGAGAGGAGAGAAGCCGGGTGAGGAGGAGGCAGGTTTCGCACCGGGCTCCCCGAGGGCACTATCCTGTCTCTGAAGGGGGAGAGAAGCATGGGGCCCTCTCCAGCTGCCTCCTTCCCAGCCCTGCTTGGGGGGGTCTGGGCCCTGTGCTGGGACATGCCGCTTGGGGCTGCGGGCAGGTTGGGTAACGGGGTCCAGGGGCTGAATCCCCCTGTCTAATCCTGGGCATTGGTTTTTCTCTCACTCCCAGATCCGGAACCTCAAAGCCCTCGGCAGCCTTTGCAATCCAGAATTTCCTCGGAGGGGGAAGGAAGGAAGGAAGAACCAGCAAGGATCCGTCCTGCGGTCCTAGAAATGGTCCCGTGAAGGAAGAGGCCCCCGGAGATCCCCCCCAGAATCCCTGGAGCCCTTTGGAGTTGCTCTGCCGGAGAGAGGAAGGATGGACACACCCACTTTGGCCAAGGAGGGGAGCGGAAAAGGCCTCATGACTCTTCAGCCTGGCAGCTGTGGGGAGAGCTGGACCACAACCGGGCAGAAGGTCCTGCAGGAGGGAATCATCCTGCCTTCAGAAGTTCCACCCTGGGCCTCCATCCGATACCGGGAGGCTGAGGGTCCCCGAGGACTTTGCAGCCGACTCCATGACTTGTGCAGGCGATGGCTGAGGCCAGGAAAGCACAGCAAAGCCCAGATGCTGGACCTGGTGGTTCTGGAGCGGTTCCTGGCTCTCCTGTCCCCAGAGATGGAGGGTTGGGTGCAGGAGTGTGGAGCAGAGAGCAGCTCCCAGGCAGTGGCCCTGGCGGAAGGCTTCCTCCTGAGCCAGGTGGAGGAGCAGAAAGAGCAGCTCCAGAGGCAGGTGGGAGACTTCAGGGAGCTTGGAAGGGAATAAATATAGAGAGTAACTTGAATGCTTCACTACTCCTTTCCAAACTTCTCCCACATTCATAATATGTGGCAATTCTCTAGTTGTTGTAGAATATTATTCCATTGTTTTCTCACTCAGCCACATTGATGGATATTGGGGACTTTGAGGTTGTGTTCCGAATATAAGAATCCACTTTATGTCATGTTAATTTTGCTTCTTTTTTCCTTCCTCCTATATGAAGTGCTACTCTGTGGAGATCAAAGATCCTGAGGGAAAAAAGAACCCATCAAATGCCCCTCAGGCGCTATTTTTCAGGAAGATCCCTTGGGAAGATCCAAGTCAGGACACTTCAGGAGGTAATTGAAAATCCTCTGATTACCCATTTGTCTTCCCTCTCTCTTCTCCCCTTTAGAATACCTCCTTTTATTTTGTTAATTATGCATTATTCCTTACAGGGAAACAAAGAATGAAACCTTCTGGTTTTTATGACGGAGAGCAAACAGCAGTTGAACCTGCAAATCAAGTAAGAAAGGGAAAAGATATTAAATTTCTATTCTCCCTTTAGGGGAGAATGAAGCAGGTGTGCAGAGTGCTCTGTTCTTCTGTTTTCCCCCCTTGCTTGGCCTGGATTATTTTTGTGTTCTTCCACTACATGGAAAGCAGAATAGCAGGTTCAAGTTGCTGTCGGCCAGCATAGCTTTCTCTGGTTATCTTCTTCTGCTAGGTTCTCCTCCGTCTTGTAGTTTGCTAGAAGCAGTTTTTAAAAAATAGGAATAATCAGTGGCAGGAACTGCTAGAGACCCAATTTTTTTTTTTTTTTGTAATTCTTTGACTCGCAATTGTGCAACACTGATGAAAAATAAATAAATAGATTGCCACATTGCCATTTTTAAAAACCTTAAAAACCAGGGTCTGCACAAAAGCATACGGGCTGCTGCATTTTGCACAAACTGGTACCTCCAGATGCTCTTCAAGGGCAGCCCCATGTGGAGCGCATTGCAATCGTCAAGACAGGAAGTGACTAGGGCATGAGTGACTCTGAGGAAAGACCGTTGGTCCAGGAAAGGACGTAACTGGCACGCAACCTGAAGTTGTGCAGGGGCCCTCCTGACCACTTCCACCACCTGCTCTTTGAGCAGGAGTTGTGAGTCCAAGAAAACCCCTAGATTACATACAGGGTCTGTTTAGGGTAGTGTCACCCCATCCAAGACTAAAGGTGACAATTCTACCTGAGCCAACGAACCCCAAACCCAGAGTCACTTGGTCTTGCAAGTGTTTAGTTTCAACCAGTTTCTCCCCATCCAGCCACTAACAGCCTCCAGGCACTGCGAAAAGGAGGACATGGCATCCCTTAACTTACCACGGCCTGAGAAATACTGCTGAATATCATCAGCATATTGGTGATACCTCAGTCCATGGTGACGGATGGTCTCATCCAGCGACTTCATATAAATGTTGAACAGGAGCAGAGAGAATACCAAACCCTGCGGAACCCCATAAAGTAGTGGGTGAGGGCTGGATCTCTCCACTCCTATCATCAGTGACTGAGAGCAGCCACAGAGGAAGGAAGTGAACCAGGATAGTACAAAGCCTCCCATTCCCATCCCCTGAAGCCACCCCAGGAGAATCCCTTGGTCGATGGCATCAAAATTATTTTACTGAAAAGCACTGAAGGTTTTGCAGAATCAATCAATTTGATAAAACTTCCTCAAATATTTCTTCAGTGAAAGCAATTTTCAGATTTCCCTATTTTCTCACCTAAAACTAGGACTTGTGTGACCCACAGCCATTTAATTTAGTGCACATCTTTGCTTTGGGAACAATGGAATAGAATAACAGTTGGTAGGGATCTTAGAAGTCTTAGTCAACCGCCTGCTCAGATAGGAAGCTCTATAACATTTCAGATAAATGGCTGTCCAGTTTCTTCATAAACACCTCCAGTGTTGGAGCACCCACAATTCCTGGAGGGAAGTCATTCCACTGATTAATGGTTCTCACTGTCTGGAAATATTTCTTTAGTTGCAGGTTGGTTCTCTCCTTGAATAGTTTCCATCCATTGCTTCTTGGAACTCTGCTATCATGTCTGCCCTAGTCCTTCTTTGCATGAAACTAGACATACCGAATTCCAGCAACCGTTCTTTATGTGTTTTAGCCTCTGGTTCAACTAATAATTTTTCTTGCTCTTCTCTGCACTCTTTCTAGAGTCTCAAGATCTCTTTTACACCTGACAACCAAAACAGGATGTAATATTCCAAGTGTGGCCTTACCAAGGCATTATCAAGTGGTACCGTGTTTCTCCAACAATTTGGCCTCCACCAATAGGAAGCCCCACCATGTTTTATTGGCATAAAATCAAATTAAGCCCCTCCCCCCCAAATTAAGGCCCATATTAAACATGCGAAATGGGGGGGGGGAATGACAGTGGGAGAGCTTGCCATTAGGAAGTACTTTTGTTGCCTGTCCGGATATGGTGCTGCCTGCGTTGGTGGGGCACTTCATATCGGGAGACCTTCCGCCACCGTTGCTTTCCCTTCTTCCTTGTTGCCTCAGTGTTTAGAGCAACGCCGTGATGTTTGGCGCACCCATGCGCAGCCAGCCAGGGCTCCTCCCTGCAACCGGAGCCCTGCGGAGACACTTGGCTTCAGGCGCTCCTGTTCACTGCCTTCCCGAGGTAGTGATAGCGCCCACCCATCCGTGGACAGGGAGGCAAGGCGACGGCCTGTGCCGCGTCCTCTGAGCTGAGCCCCGTCGAGTGAGCGCCTCTGCCTGATGCCCGTTCCACTGCAGTGTTTGGAGCTGCCGGCGCATTTGGAGATGCGTGAGGACGGGGGCGGGTTGGGCGAGGAGTGGAAAGGACGGGGGTTGGGGCTCTCTTCACCGGCCAGGGAAGCAGCGCTGCCATCACCTCGCCTCCCTGTCCACGGACGGGTGGGTGCTATCACTGCCTCGGGCAGCCTCTCCCGGTGGCACCTTCGGGTTTGC